GATTAATAGCTACAAATAAAATCGAATCATTAGGGCATTATCTGTGCTCAATCAATAATCAAATTGGAAGCAAAATTGTGATTTATTTATAAATAAATTGTATAATACTGAATGATATTAATTATTAACGAATAAAAAGAATAATAACTCTTGCTATTAAAGAGATATTCAACTTGTCCTTAAAATTGAGACTTGAGGTTTTATCTTAAAATATCAACTTAGTTAAGAGGATTAGCAATAGTTCTTATATGTTTATTTATTTCATTTTTATTCGATATGAGATTTTACCATTTTTGCAAAATAGTGGTTAGTTTGAAAACATCAATCTAGAAATGCACGCATTTATTCCAAATCTTAGCAGCATCGAATTACTCGGTTGAGTTTAATATACTAAGATAACATATTAAAATTTTTAAGAGGAGTGACCTAATTAAGTCTTATTGTTTTTATATTAAATAAACATGAAATTTTACCCTCAATATGTATGTAAGATGGTGGTTCATTTGTTTGGTAGAAACTTTAATCCAATTAAAATCAATATTTCGACCGTTATTTCATTATTCAAGCTGTCATTTTTGAATTTTTCTCTCACAGATAGAGCCCACTTTATCTCTAATAGTCAAAAAATCAATTAATAAAATCGCTACCAAACAAGCACTAAAGGAATTTGGTATCATATTATGACTTAAAATTTCATTTTAAAATATCAATAGAAGAGTAATTCATGCATTTGTATGTTATTTATTTATTTCACGCTTATATCACCATATTTTTCACATTTATTTTGTTGGTAAAAAATATGGAATCTTATATTTTAAGGAAACTTAATTAATTGCTTTTGTTCTTGATTACGACTCTTGATACAGAAATTTGCCAATTTCGTGATTAATAATGTAACACGCTGATTTATGGTATCAAAATTTGATACTTCACTTTAATTAAACTTCTTTATTTAAAAACTATGGTGGATTTTAATTTCTTAAGCGCTGTTTTTGCGTCTTGTCGAGAGGAAGCAATGTTTGACATGTTCTTTTAAGCACTACTGCGAATTATGTTTATTATTTATTACAATGAATTAGACCCAAGTAAACATGACGACGACGACGACGACGACGACGAGAAGAACTTGAAATAAACTAAATCTGATTATTCTTTTTAATTATGTAGAATTCAATGTACAAGATATATTTATAATGAGAATGTAGACTCGAGTAAACATGATTAGAATTGTTGGTAATTAGCATGCCATGTCATCTGATATTAAGTATAAGATAAACACGAGTGCTCATCTGACATGTCATATTAATTCATTGATGAATAACAAATTTAAATTTAAATGTTGAGATCCACCATAAGTTTATTCATCAATAAATTTATACGTCACGTCATCGGTGCTTAATATAAAATGAGCAAGATTCTAATTGATGTCATGTCTAGTAGTCTAATCTCATGTATATCTTCACAACATCTGGCAAGCCCTTCATAGCGACCCAATTAAATTCTACTTGTATTTATCCATGCATTATTACACGTACAAATATAATAACATAAAGTAGTATTAAAAAAAAAAAAAAATAGTAATAATAAAGAGCATATAGAGAAAAATAAAATTGAAAGAGAAAGAATAAATCTATTTTTCAATTAGAATTTATTCGAGGTTTGGAATTGTATTCATTAATTGTCGATTATTGTAGTCATCAAATACTATATCTCATGTGGAGATGAGATCTGCTGTCAAAATGGTTGTCCGTCTAATAAATTATTGAGATTTCATCAATTTGATTGATTAGTGATGAAGTTAATTAAGGTAAATCTGAGATGATATATTAATTATTGATGACATATCAATTATTCATTGGATGAACGGTCATTTAGATGAAAAAATTAGACATCAAATCTCAATTCTCTCATGTGATGTTGTGGGTTAATGACTAAACTAAAATTGAATCATTTGGGCATTTCTCTGTGCTCAATCAATAATCAATTGGAAGAAAATATGTGAGTTATTTATAAATAAATAGTATAATACGCAATGATATCGAATATTAACAAAGAAAAACGAATTAAACTCTTGCTATTAAAGAGATTTTCAACTTGTCCTTCTTATTCAGTCTTGATAATCCATCATAAAATTTCAACCTAATTAAGAAGAGTGACATGATTCCCTGTATGTTCCTTATTTATTTTATATTTTATCTTTAATATATCTTGCAAGATGATGGTTAGTTTTTTAAATATCAATTTTAAAATTCATGTGCTTATTTCAAGTCTTAGCCGCATTGAATTATTTGTTTTGAGTTTAATATGCTACGATACTATATTAAAATTTGTTATTTCACATTAAAATGTCAACTTTATTAAGAGAAGTGGTTTAAATCTTATATTTCATTTATTATTTTAACACTTAATCAACGTGAAATTTTGCCCTTAACATATTCCATGATGGTGGCTCATTTGACACTTAATTGAATTGAATTACTCATTTGTATTTAAAGAATTTTGGTACTATATTACGATTTGAAATTTCATTTTGAAATGTCAATTATAGAGCAATTTACGTCTTTATATACTGTAAGAGAAGTTTTTGCTTTTGTTCTTGACTACGACTCTTGAAAGCGTAGTTTGCCATTCGTGTAGATTTGATACAATTTTATGGACACATATTTTTAGGTTCGTGAATCATACAATCAATTTATTGGTGAAGTGATGGAACGCTCTCAAAACTCGATATAAATATGCAATTAAAGTCCTAAAATGTGTTAATTTGTGGTTGTGATTAATTGCTTGTTGACCTTTGCATACATGGGTATCAAAATTTGATACTTCATTTTAATTGAATTTCTTTATTCAATATTATATATATGAGAAAAAACTCCCGATAGCAAATATTTGAATTGAAAAATCATTAATTGGTCTTAGACAAAAAGTCGATATCGAGGTCTGGATCACGATCAATGTCAATAATAATTAAAATACTTAAATTGTCACTACTATGGTGACTCAAGAAACACGATGATGATGATGATCATAATAAGTAGTAGTAGTAGTAGTAGTAGTAGTAGTAGTAGTAGTAGTAGTAGTAGTAGTAGTAGTAATAGTAGTAGAATAGTCGATTATCCTTTTCAATTATGTAGAATTCAATGTTCAGAATATTCATTAATAGAATGGTTTTACAAAATTGAGAACATGAAAAAATACAGTAATATTTTAATTATAGAACATCTCACTTGGTTAAAGATAAGAAGCATGTTAGGTATACAATATTTTTTACACCATCTTTCATAGCTCTTTCACATCGTACGTGTGGGCCTTGCGATTAAAATAATGGCGAGATCCACTCATGTGAGTGGGCTGTCAAAAAGAGTGTACTAAAGGTAATTGTTTTCATTTGTGTGAGTGGATTGTCAAAATGAGTGTACTAAAGATAATTGTTTCCAAATCTAAGTCAAAGGTTCCAAGATTGGTACCTCTCTCTCCTTCTCTATAAAATATTTACACACACATGATATATATATACACACACACACAAACCTGTGAATTAACAAACATAGGGGTTTAAAAGCATTGGAATCCTCAATTGTCGATCGATAAAGTTTTACAATTCTATTGATATTAGAGCAATAATCAAGTCTTTAACATAGTATAAATACCAAAAGTTGATATGAGTATTATGATGTGTGTGTTTAAAATTTATTTTTAATTTTGATTTAAATTTTTATCAACTTTTTAACTAATTTAAACAAGAGCTAAATGTCTAAATATCCTCATGCACCTATTGTGCGACGTCTTGACAATCCATAACTAAAGCTCCACCTTTTGATAGCTAATATCAAAAGGATCTTTACATTGTTTAGTATATTGAAACTCTGATTTTTTATTTTTGTTTATTTATTTATTAATCCAAAAAGAGGCTTGAACTAAAGTCAATGACCTGATACGACTTTATTCTTAACGTTCGATCTAGACCTTATTCTCAAACTATAACAATTTAAGAAACGAATCGCTTGTCTTGAAACTCTCTAGCATCTCAATGTTCCATGAATGCTATCACCATCATTCACCAGATAACACACACCAAGCAACCTTCATGGACGACTAGTTACGCTAAGTGTTAAAGCAATTGATGAATAATTAAAAAAGACAAATTCATTCCAATTTATCACACAAATGAAAACGAAAGACGAGGGTTCCACGATCGAATTGCACAAAGGACATGGAGCTGAATCGAGTGAATTCCAGTACAATATTTGTAATTTGGTGGTCCAACTTTGTTGGATTGGAGATAAGTGCATGTATAAACACATGCAATTGACTCGGTCTTCCGGCCCTCCTTGATGGCCGCCGACCAACGACTTATTGCTACGGAAAAGAACATAGTAAAACGTCAGTCAAAATTGAGAACACGGCACTTAAAAGACGTAATTTTTTTTTTTTTTATTAATTTCTCATCACTGTGGGGTTTAATTACTTGGCTTGTTGGGCTGCTTTTCCTTTGACTGACATCGCCTTCTTTCTTCTTTCCAATATGAACCACCCGTTTTAGCCCCGTTTGGCCTCGTTAATTTTTATTTTATTACATTTTATTTTTTTATATTTTTAACCACACGATCTTCCATAAAATAATATCACACTAATTCGAAAAAATTTCCTTCTCTTTCAACCACTCATAAAAAAACACGTAAATCGAAAACTTTTCCTTCTTTTTCAACCACTCATTAAAAAAAAAACCACTATTCCACCCATTTTCATTTTCAGAAAATGGTTGCCAAACTGAGACTTAGTTTGAGCAACTGTACAGCATCAGCTTTGGAATGTGCTGTTTTTGTTCTCCCATTGTTCGTACAGATGCTTCCTTATTTTCTTGCACTTTCCAATTGATCATTCTCATACGTTTTAGGCTATGCTTAACTCTTCTGGACATATTTTAAAGTCAAAAAGTTTTTTTTTTTTAGACATCTTACTTTCCCATTGATATTGTTAAATCCTTCTGTTTCCCATTTTTTTTTCCATATGAATTGCAGGTTTTGCCTGTTGGAAAAGAATTAGTTGCCTGTCTGTCTGCTTTCAAAGAAATGGGTTCCACTACTGAAGGCCAAAATGCTTTACTGTCCATTTATATGCATCTTTGTTCCTCTGGCATTGAGATTTCTGAGTCCCAAAGTATGCGTGAAAATGATGGAAGTTACAATCTGATTGATATATCTGATTGGAGGGAGCAGCCTCCATTGTTATGTTGCTGGACTACTTTATTGAGGTCGATTGCCTCAAATGATATTTCTCCAGTATATACTGCTGCAGCTATAGTTACATTATCCACAGGAGCATTACGCTTTTGCATGGGTGGGGAAAGGTTTGTTCAGAAATTTCTCTTTGTTTGCTACCTTACTTTAAAGATTTGTGCCAACTCTAATTCAAAATTTCAGCTTATAATGTTTTTAATACGTATGTATTCTTTAATTTATCATACTGTAGTACCGTTATGATGTTTAACACATTTCACTATGTCCTGGATAACAAGGCTTCTTAAATGAAGTGCAAGGTTAAACATGGTTGAACCGAGCTTGTGCTAAGTTCTGCTTGTTTTAGTTTGGGTTATGTCCGTAAGAGCCTGTTATCTCACAGCTCAAGCTTTGGTCTGCATGTTGACATTTGAAAGCCTTTGCTTGGTGAATTTGAGCTATAAGATATCCACCATGCACAAACTCTAATCATTAAGATCTTATTGAATGATTTCTGTACTAGTTGATTTCTCATTTTTATCCCCTTCATAGCCACCTCACTTTTTAGACCTGAATATTTATAGTATAATTATCGTTTTTATTGCCAGTAAAGGAGATGATTCCGACAATCCACATTATATAATTTATGAAAGTAATTTGTTCACTTTGTAGTGACCTTATTGATACTTGACAAAACTATTTATTCTTAATGTGATTTTATCTACAGCATCTCAATTTTCTGTAGATGAAATATATTTTCATTTCTGTTGGTCAGCTCTTTTCATTTGCAGACTAGATTTTCTTGTATTGAATTTCTAATCAATCAATTTCTGCCAGGTAAGATTTAGAAAATTTATTTTCTCAATAGCATAAAATAAATTGCCAACTGTATTCTTTCTTCTTTAGCCTCAACTTGGAGAGGGTTGCTGCCATCAAATTCTTTTTCAGAATTAAGAATGAGAGTTCTGTAGATGATTTTATTGAAGAGAGCATGAAACAGATTGAGGAGTTTGCCACTCTGATAGGGTCAGAGACGAGCGCTGATGCATGTTCAGCTGCGGGGGATTTGCACCCTACTTCTCACGAGGTATAGTTTCTCATTTATATTCCCCTATTTTTGCTCCTTCCCATGTTCCACTCAATTATACTATCATGGATGTGCAGGTTAAGGAGTCTGCGAACTCATTGATGCTTTTGTTGCAAAAGTCGACTGACACGATCAATGAGGATATTACAATTGCCAGTTTCCTTAGCTCATTAGTTGTTGCTCCAGTTCGTTCGAGGGTTCATAAAATAGCAAACAGTAGCATAGAATGGATGGAAGATTATAGCTTGGATGAATTTGGAGACCACTTCTTTTGGGAATGTCCTGAAAATTTGCGTGATAGACTTGCACAGACTGGTCTTGCTGCAAAAGTAAAGATCTCCTCGCTGGAGGGACCAAGGCGTGCCAGAGGGGACAATGCTGCAGCTGAGGCAATCACACAAAGTACATTCTCTAGGGGGTCGGCACCTGTTGCTGCCCTTTCTGGTCCTACTCGTAGGGATACGTTTCGGCAGCGTAAGCCAAATACTAGCAGGCCTCCTTCTATGCATGTGGATGACTATGTTGCAAGAGAAAGAAATACCGATGGTATAAATCCTAATGTAATTGCTGTCCCACGGATAGGATCTACAAGTGGGAGACCACCATCTATCCATGTGGACGAATTCATGGCTAGACAAAGGGAGCGCCAAAATTCAGTGGGATCGGCAGGTATTGATACAACAGCTCAGGTGCAAGCAACAGCTCCAGAGAACACCACAGATGCTGAGAAGCGCAGTACTGACATGAAAAAAATCCCCTTTCTTTAACCCTACTCTCCCTCCCATTTAAAAAAAGCAAGAAAACAAAGTTCCTTCCCCTTCTATCAGTGGCGGATCTAGCACTCTGCGAGCAGAGGCGGCTGCACGTGTTGGATCAATGGGAAACAATTTTTTTTACAGTACATAATATTTTTAGGTTATATATTTGGTAATTCATTTTATTTTTAAACCCCTCTTGTAGCTTATTTGACTAGAGCTTTCACATACAAATTGGAATTCCTCTAATTCTAGAGTTTTTACCAAAACTGATGCAATAGGGAGGGAATTCAAACTTGTGATCCCTTTTTAAAATAATTGAAAGCTGATCATCGTGGTAGTTGTTGAATTTTGACATTAGATGTAACAGAATAATATATATTCCGTTATAGTGGTTTTAATGTAATTGCAAGGATTTAAACCTATACTCTTCCTTTGAATTATACAAAATCGATCACTATGTCATTTGGTGAATTTTTTTAATATTTATACCAAAAATATTTAGTTTTAGCAAATAATTATTATATCTAATTTTTAATATTTTATTACAGTCGTCTGCGCCCACTCAAAATTTTGAATCTACCATTGTCTGTCAAAATGCCCACAAATACTTCTTGAGCTGAAGAACTCAAGCTACTCGCAAAAAACTTTTTTATACTGTTTTTCTCACAAAAATCCCAAATCTCTAACATGATTCACAAAAAAATGTTGATCATCAAATTTTCTTTGTTTTTTTTTTTTTTACCCATAAGCAGCTGAGAGAAATAGAAAAAGGGAAAGAAAGAGATGTTGCATATGAGTAGACCCCACTTTATTTTGGGTTTTGACCCTTCTTTACGCTGTGAAAACCTTGTAATTTTTCTCTTCATTTCCTCATATTTATTTTTATGCTTATGAGTTGTGTAAGCATACAGGGAATTTACATATTATTAGTATGAATTAGTCAAATTTCGGGTAAAATGTAATGTGGTTCGTGATTAATAAAAATTGATTGAAAAAGGATTGTGTAATGCATATGGGTTGAAGTGAGTTGGCAGGAATGAATTTTACTCATTATTTTTTGAGGTGAAATACACCGTCGACAATAATTGATAAAAATCGATTGAGAAACAGTCTTTGATTGTCTAATTTTTGCTATGTGGATGTTAAATTTCGAAATTTACAAGTGTTGAAAAAAAAGAGGGGTTTAATATTGATTATAAATTATTTGATCGATAATGCTGTTTATTTTGTTAATCATATATTTTTTTTTTGTTCTTTAGTTAGGAATGGAGATCAGTTGAATTGAATCATACTTAGATGGGAACCATATTTCTTAAAAGTTCGTTGAATCTTTAATAGATGAAACTTGACATATTGCTTGTGTAGGCAAAAATGATGCTTCTTTGTTTGAAAGTTGGTAATGAGTGTTAGGCTTAAATAATTTTGTGTTTATTCCATTCTAGTACTGGAGCTACCCGGAGGGGTCCTCACACACCACAACTACAATTGAAGATGAAGAAGTGGTGGTGACGAAGAAATCACATTCAACATGCATTCGAATACCGTCGTGTCAAACTAGATTCCCGACGATAGGAGTGGATGGAAGAGAGGAAATAACATTAAACAGTAGGACTTTCTTGAATGAGAAAAACAATGTGAACCCTTTTGAACTTGTAATTTGTTATATTTCGAAGGTTTTTACGTTTATAACTAGTTTCTGGATTTATGTGTAAAACAATTATGTCCATTTTTAGATTTGTGTAGTTCATGTTTATTTGCAGTAATACAGTTTTATTGTGTAGTAGATAGCAATTTGTAACCATATTTTAAAGTAATAGTAGCAAGTTGAATCGTCGAAAAAGTCAGTGTAAAATTATCGAGACATACTGTTCAACTGTCTGGACTAAATGTGTTGATTTAGGATTTCTAAGAAAATATGTGTATGTCCATCTTAGGATGTATGTAGTTTATGTTCGTGTTTGAAAAATCAATTTTATTGTGCACTACATAACAATTCGTACATATTTTGGATGATAATATTTTGGATGATAATGGTAGTGACATATCAAATGTCAATGACACTTGATGTAGGTGACGATTTTTCAAGTAACTGGATATTTACATTATTTATGTACATGTTCGCATGTATTTGTTTATGTACAATTTAATATGTCGTCATGCCCCCAGGGCACATCTCCAAGTGGTAAAAGGGGAGGGTGGAGAAATCCAGCTTTGCTTGAGGCTGCTGCGTGAAGGGTTCGAATCCTGAAATATGGATTTGGCTCTTGGATAAGTGCAAGTGTACAAGCAGTCTTCCACCCTGTACCCTTGGAGGCATAACCTGCGATTTACCTCCCTCACGATGCTTCAGGGCAGGGGTGGTGGGGGACCCTTAAGGTTAGGGTTTAACCTTTTTTTTTAATATGTCGTCTTCTTCGAAACTTGTGTGTTCAACTAATCGGTCTTGATTAGTGTAGTTTAGTACAAGCAGGCCATACTGTCAGGAAGGTCAATGAGAAGTTGTCGAGACCTACAGTTCAGCTGTTTGGACTGAATGCGATGTATTGTTTTTAGAATGTAGTTGAATGGTGTTTATAAAGAATTAAATGTGCAATGACAATAACACCAATGTGATAACAATACACTAACAATGAATGCCATCATTTTAATTTACAAAAAGAAAATAAAAATCACATAAATCATTAAAGCAAACTTCAACATTAAATGATAGGCATTGGAACCGAGTCGGTACACGTTTGAATATTTTGTTCAACTTGCCCACAACAAGTGCATTTCCTCGTGTGTATGGTTAATTCACATCTGAAATTTATTTGTCAAAGCAAGTACGCATCGTTTCACATACAAATACGTTTGAATATTTTGTTCTACTTGCCCACAACAAGTGCATTTCCTCGTGTGTATGGTTAATTCACATCTGAAATTTATTTGTCAAAGCAAGTACGCATCGTTTCACATACAAATCTTTCTTGCCAAAGAAAATTTGACTTGAAGTAATATCGAGGTATCCATAGTTGTAACCCCCATGTGACACGATGAATATCAAATTATCACTTATACCTGAAATTAAACAAACAAAATGGTAAGCATTTCACACAAATTTAATATATTGGACTTTAAATCCATACACGAGGTACTTATGGATAAATTCTAGCAAACAATTGCAAAGTGGTTAGATGGAAAGTTACAATGTGTATCCCAACTGTTACAAAATGTCGAGATTGACGTTAGAATTGTTGTTCTTGATAGTTTGCAAATAATGAGATCACATTTCAGGCGTATGATGAGAAAACAATCTTGATGAAGCATTAACTATAACTATATTCATCACACCTCAACTACTAAATGATCAAATTTTGACAAATAATGTACACGATGCTATATTAAAATATGGAATATTCTAAAATTTTATAGAGAAAATTACTATATTTTGTCAAAAAGTTAACAAAATTAATAAAAAAGAATGAACGAAAAATAACTTACAAAATAATGTGAGTATGTTGTATTTTCTAAGTTATAATATAGAAATATTCAACAAATTATGAATGCTAACCTCAAAATAGAAGATGAATCAACTATGATTTCAAGCTTGATATTTTAAACAGTGAATGAGCAACAAAACTTATGTTTTCTGAGAGAAAATATGACTTGATCTTCTCCTCAAAATGATATGAAATTATTTTTTTGGTTAAGAATTTTATTATTCTTTGTATAATAGGTAGACTTATGGGTATCTTCATCAACAAGTTAAACATAAAATTTAAGTGATAATTGAGAAACAAAAGCATGCAAAAAGTCATTATAAGTGTAATTAGGATATTCTGCATTCAAAAAACACATTTTTTAGTACATTTTCAAAATGGGAAAAAAAAAATAAAAAAATTGTGTATATTTTGATTGTAGAGACATCTATGCAAAATCACCTATTAAAAACCATGATGTTACTTGTTAAAATGTCACGAATTACTAAACAAACAACAGCACTTCATGACATTTTAATCCATATTATCTTCAAGTGTTTTGGTTTGAGTACTGTGATCCTATTATGTTAATTACTTGATTGTCAATTGGTGTTTTGGATTTTTTATTTTAAGCAACTATGACATTTATGTGCACTCTTCGATTAAACCCAATTGACCAACTATAATATGGTTTTATTTTAAGCAACTATGACATTTATGTGCACACTTCATGACCAATGTTGGATCCAAAATTCCAAATCCTAGTACGAGGATATGCCAAAAAATCATGGATTCATTGTGGTTCAAGAAATCGATGCCAAGGAGTTTTAGGACTAAAGAAGAGCAGGAATTCGCTGCGGTTGAAGATGAAGTGAATATTGGGCAGAAAACGTATGTTGAGACTTTGAATGCCTTCCATATCATTTCGTTGTCTGAAGGGTTCAATTTGTCGCCTCTTTTTGAGAAGACGAGGGTGGAGAAGGAGGAGTTGAGATTTGCAACCACTAAGCCAGCAAGCAGTGTGATAACCAAGCTCGAAGAAGTGGCAAAAATAAGGAATTTTAGCGTAAAGAAGAATGATTCAAGTGTCCGATTGCAGGGGCAAGAGAGTGGCAGAAAGGGGAAGCTTGGAATAGCTGCAGATATATTTGCTGTGACACCTTCATTGTTGATGGTTGAGGTGAAGAAGTCTGGTGGTGATACTTTGGAGTACAATCAATTCTGCAGTAAAGAGTTGAGACCTGCACTTAAAGGTATTGTTTGGACATCAGCCACTGGCACTTCAATGCTTGCTTGAAGTGTTCTACAAGTTCCTCTAATAAATCCCGGTTGGGATTTCAGGATTCTTAGCTTTGATGTTCAGTTATTGTCAATCTCTGAATTGAATTAGTATGATTTAAATTCCTGTGTGCTACTTCTATTTGGTTGAATCCTCTGTTCCAGACTGTGTTCATAGTTTGTGTGTCTATGTTCTGTTAATGATCTGTCATTCAGAGTTCATTGTTGAAACCAAAATTGTAAATTTGCTTCAAGTGGTTGATTGGCTTTTGTGTAAATGGGGCCATTTCATAATTCTTTTTATTGTTTTATTGGTATGATGATAACTTCGTTTATGTAAAGTGATAATAATTTGAGTGCTTGTCTTCGGTCTCATCTGCAATCAATATATTAGGTGGGAATTATTGGGAAAGGCAAGAAACTATGAAACAGTAACCTTCTTTGCTATAATGGTAAACCCGGTGATGAAGTAAATGAATAGATTAGATCTAGACACGCAAATCTTTATTATTCTTGGCCAAGTGAATTTAAATAATTCCAATGTCGTTTTGGGTTCAAATGTATAGTTTTGCAAGGCAACTGTGCGCAGTTTTTGGAGTTCTGAATCAGTTGGTCCCAAAATTTCATTTGGTTTTCTGGTGTTGAGGATAAGAAAATTGTGAAATGAAGCGAAAAAATTGCTACCAAACGGGGCTTAAGTATTGAATCTTGGAAATGTTGCTGCTGTCTATTTACGAATCATCTTCGCCAAACCTCATCGGGAGAGCCTTCATTCTAATTCTGTTATATTACCTAAAGCTCGAAAGCAATTAATCTTGATATTAACAATTTATTTCACCCTCGTTTTGGTAATCTCGGGACTGGTTACGCATCTTCAAAATTAGATAAATTCATTATTGCTTGATGTGATATAACTTTCTTTTCTTGTAACCTCGATTTTCATTTGAATAGTAAAAGGCGTTTCGATTTTCTTCTCCTCATGCTTGTGCTGTGTAGAAATGAACTTTTTTGAAAACCCCGACCGCAGCTTTATTATGTGGATTAAAATGCCTATATTTTTCAACTAATATGCCAATTACATGTGCAAAGCGAATATGTGAGTAAATAATTTGGGGACCGGTTGTTTGTCCAAATTGCTCGATAGTGACTCGTGTCTGCCCTTGTGCAAATTATCAACTCCAATCTTAATTTTAATCTCGGTATTTTTATTTTATTTTATTTTATTTTTTGTGATTTTCTGTATTCTAAAGCAAGTGGATAATCATATCGACAGTTTTTATGTTTTCAGGGCCTCTTGATAAGTTGGGACTTGTTGCATGTGACATTTTGCTCTCTTTTCCTGCCATTGGTTCTATGATAGAAACAATACATATATTCTGGATTGTAAGGACCTCCTTTGGTTGGTCATGGACAACAATAATTTCCAACAACAATGAGTGAGCTGTTCTATGTATTCTGAGCCACAATCTTGTGTCATCCAGCAGAATTTTTGCTTTTGGTGGTTGCTGCCCGAGTCTCACGCCCAAATCCCTTCCTGAAAATCTTAAAGAATTTCTATCCAAGATTTAAGCTCACGAAATCTTCACCATGAGAGAGTCTGCATGTACAGAAAATGGATTTACAGAACTTCTACAAAATACACACTACATGGGGGATGGGTGGTTTTTTTGGACAATATTTTAAACACGTGAAGCCCACCCCCATGCGAGCATCTGTAGCAATTCTATGAATGCATTTGCTGTACAAATGGTTTAAACCTCTTCTACATAATCTTTGTTTTCCACACTCTTGAATCCCTAATTTTGTGGTATCTGAGATCACAACCGTTTGATTGAAAGAAACCGCAATAATGGATTTTAAATATATCGAATTTGTGAAAAATTAATATTTATTGTTGTATAATACTAATATTGTTATGTTTTTACATGATTTTTCAATCTAAACTAAGTCTTTTAAGGCTTATTATTCTTATTTTCTCTAAGAAAAAAGTAGTAATTCATTCAATTAAGCAAAAGGAAGTTATTGAATATAATTTATGGAATTACTCGACTCAAACTCACCACTCATTGGATTTGGAAGTTTGTTAATTCGATAAAATTGGGTTAAAAACACGATTGGTTGCAAACTTCCTAGACATGCATGAAATCTATATTCATGGACTAATAATACAAATATTGCATCAAATTCGCATAATCGTAATAGAATAGAGACGAATGAAAGTGTCGTTGAAGATTGATCCAATTTAATACAATAAATATTTGAAGGACAATCTAACACGACAAAAACCTTGATTTAGCAACATATTTTAATTACAATAATTGATACCGAGAGGCCTTCATTTTCTAAATAGATAATTATTTAATTTTCGTATAATTTTGTACCTTGTACATATTTAAAAATTTGTTTTCATCAAAAACCTTATTGAACTAAACCATGTTTACTTAACGGAATAAAACATGTTTTGTACGGTGTCTAACTCCTAGTGCTGCTTTAAGATATGTTTTGTACAATAATGAGACAAGGTAGATATATCAAAAAATTTTTAGGAGAACCTGATAAAAGTTGTGAATTCTATAAGATGCACAATTAAAAATTAACTATGAAATGTTAGAAAAACACGATTTTTCTAAATTAATATTGGCAACATATTAATACAATTATATTAGCTATTTAATATAATGGACAAAAATCAAGTGGTCTATTTTTTGTATGCCCATAGACTACTCAAATTAATATGGACTAAGCGAGTAGATACCGGCTAATATTACTCTAATTAAGGGATAATGAGAACCTTAATTAAGTAGTATATAAAGGTTATTTTGGTTATGATCCCCAATATACCAAATCATACACTCTTTTCCCTTCTCCCCATCAAGAAGAGAAATCACGGTCCCATTGAGGAATAAGGAGATTTGGTTGAGGAAGATCACAAAACCACCCTCTTCATTTGCATTCATCGGTACGTAGTCGATTGTCGCAGTAATTCCACAACAGTAGGCAATCGTTTACAATGGATACAAGTATATTATCGGAATCTGTGAATCCTAGTAATTTAGCATGATGTTGATCCTAGGATTTAATTTATATTTGGATCTAATTTGATTTTCTAACAAGTGGTATCAGAGCGGTCATCATTTGCTAGATTATTAGGATTTGTGCATGTTCTATTCGTATGATATTTGGATTATTTTTCTCAAATAGAATGTTTGAATTTTGTGAAATTCCTTAAACTGTTAAGTTTAAGAATTATTCTTGATGCATTCGGCAAAATCGAATCTCGAAATTTTGGCACAGTTAGTATTGATTTTAAATTCTGTTCGTGTCCATTTTAAGTTTTTTTTTTTGGGATCTGAATTTCATCTGCCTTTCAGACATCTGCAGTTTCGGATCATTTTATAATGAATTTCAATTGCATCAAGAGCAAGTCAGCAATTTTGGACTGTTTATAATGGATACATCACTTTTGGTAGCGTGTAGATCACTGTCAAAATCTGTGACCTTCATTATGGATCCAGAAATCAGAATTTCAACTGCATGGATTAGCCGCATTTTTTGACCCTTGTTTTATGTCTCATAATGGAGTCAATATAGAATGGTGTATGACATAATACTATTTGGCATATTTAGTATAGATTGGTAATACACGTAACCTTTCACAATGGATCAATTTCAATTGCATTATATAATTCAGTTGCAATTGTTGACTTTTGTTTCATAATGGGTCCAAGACATGTGCCTTTTGGTTTAAAATTAAAAAATATATATATATATATATATCCTTTTTTGTAATGAAGGAATTAGAAACAGATTGTGGTAAACATAAAATTGGAAATTGATTCATTTTGTTCAGCCCATTCATATTTCAGAATTCAGTTTTTCCAATTTTAAGTTTTAAAATAAATTCAAAACTTTGGTTTTGATTGTTCCCTTTGGATGTCTAGTATATTCAATTTAATTGATTAAAAGCAACATGTTGCCAAAGTAACTCCTATTGTGTAGATTGATTTAATTGAAAATATATAAATGTTTTGTACGGAGTTATTTATGCAAATTGTGCTCGGCCCAAAGGAAGACACAATTTGGCCAAATAACAACGTGCTTGTGATGTTAAATATGTGACAATTATAAAGGCATTTCATGTGAATAATAGTCGGTCCAAAGAAAGGCTATTATTTGACAAAATTGATTGTCAATGTTTGATCATTGCACCAAGAGTACCAATTACAGTTAATTTCTCTGTTCAAAGACTAGGAATTAATGTCGTACTAGGTATTTTGAGATGGATCCCAAAATCTGGATTATTTGTGCGTGTCTTAATTTTCTTATTTGACATGCTTGCTTATTTTGTTCTCTATACAGTTTCTGTTATTAATGCTGCGAACGTCTCTGCTCAAGTCAGCAACATCCCAATGCTGAGCGAGACGAACTTTAAAGTTTGGAAAGAAGCCGTGGAAATTGTCCTCGACTGTATAGATTTGAATCTTGCACTTCGTTCAGATCGACCCGCTTCTACTCCGAAAAACCACAATGAGGGTAAAATTGAAAAGTGAGATTGCTTTGACCGGAAGTGCTTGATGATCATGAAACGTTCCATTCCGGAAGCGTTTCAGGGCTCTATTATTGAGAGCGGGAGTGCCAAGAAGTTTCTTGAAGAAATTGAGCAATATTTTGCCAAGAATGAAAAATCGGAGGCGAGTAACCTTTTGGCTAAACTCGTTTCCATGAAGTATAAGGGCAAAGGGAACATAAGGGAGTACATCATGGAGATGTCTCATCTCGCATCAAAACTCAAGTCACTTAAGTTGGAGCTGTCTGATGACTTGCTCGTGCACTTGATTTTGATCTCTCTTCCTGCGCACTTTGGGCAATTCAAAGTGAGTTATAACACTCAGAAGGACAAATGGTCCCTAAATGAGCTTATATCTCACTATGTGCAAGAAGAAGAGAGGCAACAGCATGATAAGACTGAGAGTGCTCACTTGGCCTCAACCTCTCAGAACAAGAAAAAGAAGAGAGCTAAGGATGCTGTGGAAGGAACTTCTCAGCAGAAGAAGCAAAAGAAGCAGGATAAGGAGTTTACCTGCTACTTCTGCAAGAAGTCGGGACACATGAAGAAGGAGTATCCCAAGTACGCTGCCTGGCGTGTAAAGAAGGGTATGCTTCTAACTTTAGTTTGTTCTGAAGTTAATTTAGCTTCTGTACCTAAGGATACTTGGTAGGTAGATTCTGGTGCTACTACTCATCTAAGTATGTCCATGCAGGATTGCCTGTGGAGCCGATCGTCAAATGATGCTGAAAGATTCATCTTTGTGGGCGATGGCAATAAAGTTGCAGTAGAGGCTATAGGGACTTTCAGATTACAATTAAAAACTGGGTTTTATTTGGATTTGTTTGAGACATTTGTTGCACCGTCCTTTAGACGGAATTTAATTTCTATTTCTCGTTTGGACAAATCAGAATTTTCTTGTTCATTTGGAAATAATAAAGTTAGTCTCTATCAAAATTCAAATTTTGTTGGTTCCGGTTATATGATTGATAATCTGTATATACTTGATATTGTTAGTTCCTATAACGAAATACTGCAAACAAGTTCACGTGGTACAAAGCGAAAATTAAGTGAAAATTCTACCACTTTATGGCACAAGCGTTAAGGTCATATCTCTAAGCAGAGAATTCAGAGGCTTGTGTCGGATGAAATTCTTGAACCCCTAGATTTAACAAACTTCCAAGTTTGTGTTGAGTGCATCAAGGGGAAAAGAACAAACATGAGAAAATTAGGTGCAGAGAACTACAGACGTCTTAGAACTGATACATACTGATATCTGTGGCCCATTCCCTACGGCTTCTTGGAATGGACAACAATACTTCATTACGTTCATAGACGATTACTCTAGATTCGGTTACCTATATTTAATACACGAGAAGTCTCAATCCCTGGATGTTTTCAAGTCTTTTAAAGCTGAAGTTGAACTTCAACTTGGAAAGAAAATAAAGACTATCAAATCTGACCGTGGTGGTGAATACTACGGAAGATATGATGGATCAGGAGAACAATGTCCAGGACCCTGCGCTATTTTCCTCAATGAGTGTGGAGTTGTTCCGCAATACACCATGCCGAGCAAACCTAGTATGAATGGTGTTACAGAACGACAAAACCGAACTCTTAAGGATATGGTAAAGAGTATGATAAGTCATTCCTCCTTACCAGAGTCACTTTGGGGAGAAGCTTTGAAGACCGCAGTGTACATTCTTAACAGGGTACCAAGCAAGGCAGTTGCCAAAACCCCTTATGAGCTGTGGACAGGCAAGAAGCCTAGCATTAAGCACTTGCACATTTGGGGTTGTCCAGCTGAGGCACGGCCTTATAGGCCACATGAAAGAAAACTGGACTCAAGGACGGTTAGCTGCTATTTCGTTGGTTACGTTGAACGCTCTCGGGGCTATAAGTTTTACTATCCCACGTCAAGATCCTTCTTTGAAATGGGAAATGCGAGATTCCTTGAGGATATTGAGTTTGGAGGGGAAGGAAACATAAGGAACGTTGTCTTTGAAGAAGAATCTGTTATTGACAGCAATCAGGTCTCTGTACCTATTGTTATTCAAGACACAGTTTTGGCAATAGATGACAATGTTCAGGCTCCTATTCCTGACATTGTTTCAGACCAAGACAACAATGAGATTCTTCCTCAAGCACCACCTATAGAACAAACTCAACAACCTCAAGAAGTGCTATTAAGGAGATCCACTAGGGAGAGAAGAAATGCGATTTCAGATGATTATATCGTCCTTCTTCAAGAACATGAGGATGGCGTTGGTTTAATGGAGGATGACCCGATCAACTTCCATCAGGCCATGCGCAGTTCTAACTCTCAGAAGTGGATTGATGCCATGAAAGATGAGATAAAGTCTATGAAAGATAATGACATTTGGGATCTCGTCGAGTTGCCTAAAGGTATGAAGCCCATTGGTTGTAAGTGGATATTTAAAACCAAGAGGGATTCAAGAGGCAGTGTCGAGAGATATAAAGCTCGTCTAGTCGCTAAAGACTTTACTCAAAAGGAAGGCATAGACTACAAAGAGACTTTCTCTCCGGTATCTTCGAAAGACTTTTTTAGAACAATAATGGCACTAGTGGCTCATTTTGATCTAGAGCTACATCAAATGGATGTCAAGACTGCGTTTCTCAATGGAGACATTGATGAGACGATTTACTTAGTACAACCAGAAAGCTTTGTATCAGGAGATCCAAAGTCTATGGTTTGTAAGTTGAAGAAATCCATCTACGGTGTCAAACAAGCTTCCCATCAATGGTATCACAAGTTCCATCAAATCATTACCTCGTACGGTTTTGAGGCAAATGTTGTTGATGACTGTGTATATCATAAGTTCAGTGGGAGTAAATATATCTTCTTGGTATTATATGTTGATGATATTCTACTCGCTAGCAGTGATATAGGCTTATTGTATGAAACCAAGAAATTTCTGACGAAGAAATTCGAGATGAAAGATCTTGGGGATACCTCTTTTGTATTAGGTATTCAGATACTGAGAGATCGTTCTCGAGGTATCCTTGGACTTTCACAAAAGAGCTATATCGATAAGGTTTTGAGTAGATTTGGCATGAAAGATAGTAGACCAGGAGACACGCCCATCTCTAAAGGAGACAAGTTTAGTCTCAAACAGTGCCCCAATAATGATCTTGAAAGAGAAGAGATGCAGAATATTCCCTATGCATCAGTGGTAGGGAGTCTAATGTACGCTCTAATTTGTACTCGTCCCGACATAACATTTATAATGGGAGTTTTGGGTAGATACTTGAGTGATCCTAGCATGCAATATTGGAAAGCAGCCAAACGCGTGATGCGTTATTTGAGGAGAACAAAAGACTACATGCTCACTTATCAGAGATCAGATAGTTTAGAGATCATCGGGTTCTCTGACTCCGATTTTGTGGGATGCCAAGATAGCAGACGCTCCACATCAGGCTACGTCTTTATGTTGGCTGGAGGAGCTATCTCATGGAAGTCTGCTAAACAGACTCTCATAGTTTCTTCAACCATGGCTGCAGAGTTCATTGCTTGTTATGAGGCATCCAACCATGGAATATGGCTACGAAACTTTGTCACTGGACTATGAGTGGTAGATGGCATTGACAGGCCATTAAAGATTTATTGTGACAATAACTCAGCGGCACTTTACTCCAATAACAATAGGAGTTCGACAAAGTCGAAATTCATTGATATCTAGTTTCTAGTTGTTAAGGAGAGAGTTCAAGATAAACAGATTTCCATAGAACATATAGGAACAAATTCCATGCTAGCGGACCCACTAACCAAGGGCTTAACGCCGAAGGTCTTTCATGAGCACACTGCTCACATGGGCGTTATTTTTGAGGATATTCTAGTCTAATGGGAGTCAATTTTATGTTCTATATGTTTGTTTTAGACATTAAATTATTTAACTTTCTGCAGAATAAAGTTGATGGTCTATGATTCTATTTCTGAGTTTGCTTGTGTTTTCATTGTGCAATGTTTGCATTGCATTAAGGACTTTGGAATGATCTCACTAAAGACTAAAGAAGGACCAGTTGGAAATAGGCATGTTTGAGATCACATTTCATATAAATTTCCATGCTACTCATCCATATTTGATCTATGTCATTAAGTGTATTAATATGTTGATCATCGTGGTTTAATCACTAATGTATTGTGATGAAAGTTGCGGTGGTTCCATTATTAGTATATGAGATGGACAAGATTGTTTAAGGAGCAGTCTAATGATAAATAGCATACAGATGCATGCCTAAGGAGTTTTGTAATATAATTGTTTAAGGAATAATATGTAGCCAAGTGGGAGATTGTTAGAAAAACACGATTTTCCTAAATTAATATTGGCAACATATTAATACAATTATATTAGCTATTTAATATAATGGGCAAAAATCAAGTGGTCTATTTTTTGTATGCCCATAGACTACTCAAATTAATATGGACTAAGTGAGTAGATACCGGCTAATATTACTCTAATTAAGGGATAATGGGAACCTTAATTAAGTAGTATATAAAGGTTATTTTGGTTATGATCCCCAATATACCAAATCATACACTCTTTTCCCTTCTCCCCATCAAGAAGAGAAATCACGGTCTCATTGAGGAATAAGGAGATTTGGTTGAGGAAGATCACAAAACCACCCTCTTCATTTGCATTCATCGGTACGTAGTCGATTGTCGCAGTAATTCCGCAGGAGTAGGCAATCGTTTACAATGGATACAGGTATATTATCTGAATCTGTGAATCCTAGTAATTTAGCATGATGTTGATCCTAGGATTTAATTTATATTTGGATCTAATTTGATTTTCTAACGTGAAATTCATGTCTTTTTTTTTTTTTTTAAGTTTTCCAGACAAGTACTCAAAAGTGTTTTATAATACTTATAAGTTATTAAATATTCAGTTAGCTTATTTATTTGTAGTAAGTGGGCCGGCTATGTGAATGAGCGGTGCATATTGCTCGAGTCGGATACTCGGACTTATAATTATTTTTAAAAAA